CGTCAGAACGTCACTCAGTTTTGTTTAGGCTAAGAGAAAGAACACATGATAACACACACCAACTCTTTGTCAGCTTCAACCTTACAGACTGAAATGATCAGAAAGTATAAAATACAAAACTGAATCTAATATTCAATTAATCAGTTACAAAATTTCTTCAATACTGTTGCTGAACCTAGACCGGATCAACTTCAGCAACATATCGTAGCAATGCCCCCACAGTTTTGTACAGTAGGCACTAGGCATGATGGGTGAATCACTTCACCTGCCTCTTTTTTTACCATAATGCGCCCATCACTCTGGAACATGGTAAATCTAGACTCATCAGACTTTGTGACCTTCTTCCATTGCTCCAGAGTCCAATTGTTATGCTTCCTAGCAAATTGAATCCTATTTTTTTCTGGTTATCCAATGATTTGACCCTTCTCAAAGAGACTGACATCTTTTGCACAACCACGGGATGTAAATGGTAAATGGCTTGAACTTGTATATCACCTTATCAAATCCATATGGACCYTAGAGCACTTGAATTCACCCGTTCACACACACGTTCAYACACTGATGGTGGTAAGCCACAGCTGCCATGGAGCACACTGACCTAGGCAGGGCTGCCACACACCAGCGCCACTGGACCCTCTGACTACCATCAGTAGGCAAGGCAGGTGAAGTATCTTGCTCAAGGACACAACAACTGAGACAGTYGGAATGAGGGATCAAATTGGCAACCTACCACAGGCATCTTATGTGTCTTTCGACATGGTTGTTTAAGAAATGAGAAGCAAATCATTGCACCTAGATTATGGCAAGACATTCTTGATGCTATTGCAGGAAGCTCTTGAGATGTTACAAGATGGCTCTGTCTCCATTCAGTGGTTGCAGCCGGCATCGGCAGCTTACTTCATGGCTACCTGGCACTTGCCCCACGTCATAGGATGTCCCACTATGTAGGCGCTTACTCGTGTGGCTGAAAAAATGCCGCCAACATAACCCTAAAACCATAAGCTGCAWCTGAGTATTCTATGCAGCTGACCAGGTTTCATCACGTCATCAGCAAACTAAACAAAAAAACAAAAAYGGCTCTGGTTTTTAGTTTTTTTTTAAATGGTGGAGTTTGGAAAAACATGACTGTTAGGTTAATTGATAACTCTAAATTGTCCCAAGGTGTGAGTGAGAGAGTGAATGGTTGTTTGTCTCGTTTGTCTCTATGTGTGGCCCTGTGATGGACTTGTGACCTGTCCAGGGTGTACCCTGCCCCTCGTACTGTGACTGCTGGATATGGGCACCAGTGACCCACGYAACCCTGAAAAGGAAGAAGCGTGTACAGAAAATGGATGGATGGATGGATGGAGTTTTGAAATTTGTCAATGACTGATTAATTCACTTTTCAATGTAAGTTTAGGAACAAGGCTGATGAAATTTATGCTGCAATGAAATCAAATGCAATTACAAGCACTGATACTGGAGTTAAACCTAATTTTGTTTTGTTTTGTTTTATTTGCGTGTAATGAATTTTGTAAAGTTATACCATGAAAAAAACCACTAAAACCATTTTGATATAAAGCATAACACCATGGTATTGGGGCAGTGCATGGTCATGCAAACATAACATCATTTGTAGACTAGATGATCTCATTTCACATTCATTTATGCAGCATACATTGGCGGCATAYGTGGCCAATGTGGGCCACAGTCAACATGGACTGCAACCCATGAAATGAGACACAGTCAATCTTGAGACTATCATAAGAAGTTGTTGAAACTATCACAAGAATTTTAGTCTGTTCTAGTCTCATCACTCGTTCTCTTGTCTCTAGGAGGTGGTGTTGTACTGTCTCGAGCGGCAACTTTGTGACGTCAACCACAGAGATAATGCTGGATACTGYGCCCTGCATGAGGCCTGCGCTCGCGGCTGGCTGGTAATCGTACGCCACCTGATCAACCATGGTGCCGATGTCAACTGCAGTGCTCAGGATGGAACCAGGTATGAACTGACCTGTTGTTACTGCAACTTCTGGTTCAGCTTTGCTTTGAATTTATTGTGGGGGATGCACTGAACGGAAATAAAATATTTGTGACTGCACACTTATGCAATTTTACTCCTTTCAATATTAAGTCATAATTCTGCTAAAAAGAGCAGGTGCCATAAATGTGCTTATAGTGTTGTCTACATAAAGACCAATCTTTCTTTGGRAAATGATAAATGATGGAATCTATTGGCACACATTCTGAAACCTTCCTTTAATTTGAAGACTTTTTAAAAACAATACAAAATAACTTCAGAATGTCACAGTTCAGTATAATGACAGACCTTCARTAGCAGTCTTTTTTAAAGGAATTTATATTGACCATTGCATGCCAAAGTTTTRAACAAAGATTTGTTTGGGTGATGATTCTCAGCTRCTACCCCATTAAAATGTAGTTCAGAATCTGTAAAAGTGACTGTAGTCATTTTTGTATTTAGTTTGCTAATGTTGATCAGCCAATGCAGATATTTTTGAACGAAGCTGACTTTAAAAATTAATCAGTTCCTGGTGTACATCCAAATGTGCATTTTCTGAGAGTTTTATTTTCCTGACAGATGAACTCAAACACACACACACACACACACACACACACACACACACACACACACTATTGCCCACCACCATAAAAAAAAAACAGGTTATCCAGTAATTTTAAGTTACTTTGATGATGTTACTGTTTAGGCCACTTCATGATGCTGTGGAAAATGACCACTTGGAGGTAGTGCGCTTCCTGTTGGCCTGCGGTGCTGACCCTACCCTGACCACCTACTCGGGGCGAAGACCAATCAGCATGACCCACAGTGCAGTCATGGAAACCTTCCTGGAAGGTAAACGGTATTGTACTGAGATATTATGGAAATTTTGTAGAAATTTGAAATAAACTTATAAATAGTACAATACTTACTTTTTTTTTTATTCCTGTCGTGGGAAGATGGACAGAAACACGGCGAAAGGGTGTTAAAAAGACAAATGGTCTTGCGGGTATGTTCATAAAGTCACTTATTAATGGGCAGACATGAAACAGAAAACAATCAGGAAGTCTGTTGGATGTGGCCCGCCCGTCATTGGCTGCCAAGCAATGATATACTGTCAGCTAACRTCATGWGATAATGAMCAACCAATCATAACCTGCCTCATCCTGATACGTTAAAGTAGGTCAACTGGATGATGACGTCCAGAGGATATCACAAGATATGAACAGTGGTCAGTGTCAAGGTGATACAGAAATAATTAGTCCATGACAATTCCCTATCAATTTTGTTTTTGTCTGAACGAGTTTCTGTTCAAGCCAGTTAGAATCTAATTTTCTCCAATTCTTTGCAAGTGTTTCCAACCCTTCCCTTGGAGAAGATTACTTACATAGTAAAACACCAAAAACAGATTCCATCAGATTTGGAACCCCTTTATTTGTCATTTAGTAGGGATGGGTTTGGCACAAATGATTGGGAAAACCTGGAGTCACAGGAATGATAGCTGTYGGCAGTACTCAGTATTTGAAAAAAAAATGGAACAGAAATAAAACTTAAAGGTCACATTCCTAACTTGGGATGAAGAAACAAAACCGGGAAGGTTATGCAGAGGTTGGGGATATGTGTGGGGAGTGTTTAGATATAGTAGACAAGCTTGTTTAAGGCAGGTAACTTAATTTTGTTTTTGTTTTTAAATGTGCAAAATAAAATAAATTGTGGAGGTTTCATTCAATCTAAATGTAATCCAGTCAAATGCAGTCCATTCAGAATAACTACAGTCTATATCACTTTTGTAATGTTTTTAATTAACTTAATTCATTTCATTTCAAGCCAGTCGAATTCATTACAAGTTTTTACTTGAGTCCGTTTTTCCATTTCAGTATCCAATTCAAGCCATTTATTATTCTTTAATTTAGTGCTTTTAAAAAATAATAATCCATCCATCCATTATCTATACCCACTTCTCTTCCTTTTAGGGTCACGGGGGTCACTAGTGCCCCATACCAAAGCAGCCAGAGTGCGAGAGACAGGGTACACCCTGGACAAGTTGCAAGTCCATCACAGGGCCACACATAGAGACAAACGAGACAAACAACCACTCACTCTCTCACTCACACCTAGGGACAATTTAGAGTTATCAATTAACTACAGTCATGTTTTTGTTCTGTGGGAGGAAGTCAGAGCGCCCAGAGAGCACGGAATTTGATCTGGCGACCTTCTTGCTGAGAGGCATCAACTCTACCAACTGAGCCACCAGTTCAAAATAATAATAAATAATAATAAATA